TAGCAAAATGAGCAATTTGGCCAATATCGATAACCCATAATTCTTAAAATTTGGAGGCTACTAAACTCATTCATTCATTCTTTTTCTTGTCGGCTTAGTCCCTTTATTAATCTGGGAATGTCACAACGGAATGAACCGCCAACTATTCCAGCATATGTTTTACACAGCGGATGCCCTTTCAGCTGCAACCCATCAGTACTGGAAAACATCCCTAGTACTGGGAAACATCCATACACACTCATTCACGCACACTCATACACTACGGCCGATTTTGTTTATTCAATTAACCTATAGCGCATGTGTTTGGACTTGTGGGGGAAACCGGAGCACCCGGAGGAAACCCACACCAACAGGGGGAGAACATGCAAACTCCACACAGAAACACCAACTGACCCAGCCGGGACTCGAACCAGCGACCTTCTTGATGTGAGGTTGCCCAGAGTCAGAATTACGAAACCTAAAAAAACGTGAAAGTTTCAACATTTCAACAGTGCGTCAAGGTGGAGCAGTGTGTAACGCTGTTGCCTCATAACAAGAAGGTCGCTGGTTTGAGTCCAGGCTGGGTCAGTTGGTGTTTCTTTGTGGAGTTTGCATGTTCTCCCATTGGCGTGATAAACAAAAAGTGGCTGTAGTGTGTGTGTGTGTGTGTGTGTGTTTCACCGTTTTTTGGGTTGCAGCTGGAAGGGCATCCACTGTAAACATGCTGGAATACTTGGCGGTTCATTCCGCTGTGGCAACCCCAAAAAAGGGATTAAGCTGAAAAGAAAATTAATGAATCAGAATTCAGAGAAAAATTGATTATTTTCATTCACTCTTATTTTCACTTCTGAATTTCTCCAGATTCCTCCTCTACTATTACCAAATTAATTTGCTGGTTAAATTATTTTGGTGACGAAAAGAGCAAAAATAACAGCATTGAGGGTGGGTTTATATATGTAGACATATAAGGGGTTTACATATATAAACTCACCACATGGTCATAATCACCCACTGTATATATACATTCATTCATTCATTTTCGTGTCGGCTTAGTCCCTTTATTAATCCGCGGTGCAACAGCGGAATGAACCGCCAACATATCCAGCATGTTTTTATGCAGCGGATGCCCTTCCAGCCACAACCCATCTCTGGAAAACATCCACACACACACACTCACACACACACTCGAACAATTTAGCCTACCCAATTCACCTGTACCGCATGTCTTTGGACTGTGGGGGAAACCGGAGCACCCGGAGGAAACCCATGCGAACGCAGGGAGAACATGCAAACTCCACACAGAAACACCAACTGAGCCGAGGCTCGAACCATATATATATTGTTTGTAGTGATGTGTGTAATGGTGTGTTTTACTCTTTCAGTACTGGCAGAGATTCGGCTCCTGCTGTCTGAGAGCTCAGGGAATCTTCAGCATTCAGTCTAGAGATGCTTATAAATTCCTGCAGATCAACCCGTCTTCACTTTCACCAGGAGAATGGCAGAAACAGCGCGATTCAATCATGAAGAAGCTGAGTAACATCAGCACTGAGGATTCACCCATCGCCGCCGTTACTGAGTGAAATAAACAGTGTTGGGGGAAAACGCTTTACAAGTTACGTTATAATATGTCCCTTTAACATTGTTTACCTATAACTACCAGCTGGCAAAATGTACTCATGCAATGTTCTTATTTAGCTAAAAACACTATTATGTAACTCTTATAAACTATTGCTAGTACACTATTATGTATGAAATAATTGATAACAGGTGATTGAATAAAAAAAAAATAGCGGACACCCCATGCAGAGTGGCTGTTTCACCTCAGCTGTGCATTATTTTCTGTGCATTTGCTTCTATCACGCAAAGGAGAGACAGATGGATACGACTTATAAATAGTTTAGTGTAATCTGTGCATCACTTTTAATTGTAAGAGCTGTAGTCTTTTATATTTACATTTATAGACCATTTTTAAGGGGTGGAAACAATAACAATGGTCTTAACATATTTCCTGCCTTACATTTTTAATTTCTATAGCTTCTGAGAATCCCAAAAATTCCAAAGATTGATCAATAATCCTATTACAGGTTCATGTTAGTTATGAAAAAGTTTGACAACAAGCAGGAACTTTTTATGGGCCAATAACATGACTTCATTGAAATGTGATGAAGAATTTTATTTACTATATGAAGACACATCTAATTGGGTGAGTGGAGGGTTCTATGAATCTGCCATTATATGTCTTTGAAAACAGGTGACAGGTTAAGGCAAAGGGGTCATAAAAGAGCAGGAGAGAGGACTTGGGGATACAATGAGAACCATTTATGTCAGAAAGGCATGAAATGTATAGAACATATGTTGAAATTGTCATGTATGTTTGAAAAGACATGTACTGTATGGGAAAGAAGAGTCCAATTTAGATGTTTGAAACATAGATACTAGTCATGATTACCAAATGTGAACTGTATGTGTAAAACAGTTATGATTACATTAGATCTTTACATTACGAGGGCCACCAAAAAGAAGAGGCTTTAATTAGGGGTCATAAAGAAGTAGGAGCTGGAAGAGGCCTGTTGAACCAGTAAACAGCTGTGAAAACACAAAGGTGGGAGGAAGCCAGGATAAAGGGGATAGCAAATGTGAGGGACATCCGATTGTCCTGGAGTAAAACTATAGGGATGGGTCTGCTTATGCTTTTTTGGAAAATATTCCAATAAAGTATACTATTCTGATATTTATAACCCCCAGTCTGAGTTTGATTCATTAAGAGAAAAACCGAAAACCACGACAAATTGTCTATAGAGCAAGAGTGAATATTGTCTGTTTGTTTTGTCTAAATAGTTAACAACAGAGATTTATAAAAACAAATGAACATAAATAAAACTTTTCATTAACAGTTCAGTGTTAGCATTCAGTGAGTTGATGTTGTTCAGTTTGTCAGTTCTAGCTCTGATCTTTGATACAGTAATCTTTTAACACAGTAAGCTCTTGATGTCTGGCTTTGTGTCTAATGTTAATATCACACAATACAGACTTTCAACTTTATTGTGCTTTATAAAAGTTAATGTTTCACTGCACATGGAAGAAGAATCATGGTTCAACGTTTGTAAATGTAGACTTCTAAAATAAATTGAAAACATGTTTCATTTCAATCGGGTTTCAAAAAAATATTCATATTTTGCTTTTAATTTAGTATATTATACACATTTTAATACAATGAACACTGTCAATTAATTATTAATGCATTTTAGAATTAACCAAATATGTGTTTGTATAATTTTTCAAATGTATTTTATATGATATAATTATAAGATGGGTGTCACGGTGGTGCCTCAGAGCAAGAAGGTTGCTGGTTCGAGTCCCAGCTGGGTCAGTTGGTGTTTCTGTGTGTGAATTTGCATATTCTCCCCGTGTTGGCATGAGTTTCCTCTGGGTGCTCTGGTTTCCCCCAAAGTCCAAACACATGCGCTATAGGGGAACTGATCAACTAAACTGGCCGTAGTGTATGAGTGTGTGTGTGTGTGTGTGTGTGTGTGAATGAGTGCGCATGGGTGTTTCCCGGTACTGGAAGGGCATCTGCTGTGTAAAACATATGCAAGACATTTTACTGATACCAAAAGGCAGTCTTGTAATGACATTACACTATAAAAACAATATATGACCAATTAATCATGACAGCATACACTATGTTTTTAGGTCATTGTAACTTATTAAAAATTTAAAAAGTTAATCTTGTTCTAACTTAATTTAATTAATCTAATTTAAGTTACACAAGCTATTTTAGGTCAGTTTAGCATAATATAAGTTTAATGGACTCAAAGATAATTTTGATTCTGCTTAAAAATTTAAGGCAAGCAGGATTTTTTTTACAGTGTGGTTTTATTTCAGCAGATAACCTCATGCTTACAGAAATCACAGAAGAACAATATTCACCTGTATTAGCAGTACAGTATTATTTTAATGAAAGGATCAAAGGATATTTCACAGTGTAGAAGACTGCTAACATTCTAAATAGAGCACACTTTCCTAACGGTCATGACGTGAATTCAAATTCAAATGTAGCAACTTTTAGAACAGAATGCCGTTTCCGACAGAGATCAAAGCGAAGATGATGTTCCAGACGCTCTCACTTTTCCCAGGTAGATCATCTTCAGCTCTCAGTGTGTGATGGCCTTTTGATTTGGAACATTCGGTTTTATGTTCTCCAGCTTCACCTTGACGAGGTTGTACTCTTTCTCCCAGTCTGCTTTGGACAGAGTTGAAGGGTTGACCTCCAGGAACTTGTAGGCGTCATTCGCCTGAACACTGAAGATGCCGTTGGCCTTCATGCAGCTGAGGCCGAACTGTGTCCAGCCCTGTACACATCACATCACAGGTCAGACAGCTTTACAACTTTACAAATCACCGCTGAGTTCACTGCACACTGACGAGAAACTAAACTGTGTATTAGAGTTAATGTTGTAACCAGTATCTGCCACTAGATGGCAGACTCACATAAGGGACTAGTATTAAACTAAACTCTTGTAAGTACTACTTAACTTAATATTAAATATTAAGAATATTTATCTTTAAATTAAACAGATATATAATAAAACATTTGAACAATTTTAATGCAAGTAAAAAAGGTATCTCTCATATATAATTTAGATGTGGCAAAAAAAAGGCTTTTTTCCAGGAATTACCCGTTTTACACATTTAAAAATGCCTTTCTTAATAAGGTTTTTTGTCTTTTTTCTTACCCAAATATCTAAAAATTCTTAAACTAAGAAACATTTAGATAAGTAAAAATATTGTCTTGTTTTCAAAGATAATAAGTCAATATTAAATGAGTTTTTCCTTAAAACAAGCAAAATACTCGCTCTGTTCCAGTCTCAGTCACTCATGGTGTTCCTCAGGGATCTGTATTGGGTCCTCTTTTATTTATTATTAAAATTTTTTCCTTTAGGATATATATTTTGTTCTTATGGCATACATTTCATCTTTATGCTGATGATACGCAAGTTTATATGTCTACTAAGAATGCTCCATCTCATCCCCCCTCCGATCTTCAATAATTTTCTAGTAAATTTTACAACTCATGCTAAAAGTCTTGGGGTTATACTAGATGGTGCTTTTGTTTAATTCACATATTAGTAATATTTCACCATCTGCCTTTTTTCACTTACGTAACATTGCAAGACTGCGCCCTTCACTATCCCAACAAAGTACTGAAGTGCTCGTACATGCTCTGCTTACATCAAGGATTGATTATTGCAATTCCCTCCTATCTGGTATCCCTCTTAACCAACCTCCAATTCTCTTTCACTTGCATTGTTTTCCTGTTTTTTATCGTGTACAATATAAAATTCTTTTATTAACTTACAAAGCTCTTCACAACCTGGCACCCGATTACCTCTCTGATCTTCACTGGTTCTCTCCTCGGCGCTCACTGAGATCTTCTGCGGCTGATCTGTTATCAGTTCCAAATTTTAAGATGAAATCATTTGGTGGCAGGGCTTTTAGCAGCACCACAGTTAGATATTCGTCAGGTGGACTCTATCTCCAATTTTAAATTGCAGGTTAAAATCTTTCTGTTCATGATTGCTTTAATGACTTTCTGGATTAATACTATGTTTCAACACAATCTCACGGCAATTCGTAATTTTTTCATTTAGTGGCTAATTCGTATGAATTCGTACGATCTAATTCCTACAATTTAGTACGATTTGCTCATCCCACAATGACGGTTGGGGTTAGGGGTGGGGTCAGGTGCCACGCCTCCTTTTTAAAATCCTACCATTTCGTTCGACTGAACTCGTACGATGAAATCGTACGAATTAGCCACTAAACTGGCAAAACGTAAAATACTTACGTTTCCTCGTGAAATCAGGCTGGTTTTTTTTACTCTTCATTCTTGTTTTTATAATGTGCCTGTGACATATTGTAAGGTCTCCTTGAGTGCTCTGAAAGGCGCCTATAATTAAAAGGTATTATTATTATTATTGTTAATATTAATAAATAATCTGTCAATGGTAAAAGCCAAATAATTTTATTATAAAGCAAACACAAAATTATTTAGCTTACTCCATTAAAAATGAAATAAAATCATGTTTATGACAGATTTATGACAAGTTTTGTTGTCTTGGTAACGTCAAGTTGTCATAATGAAGACATAAACAGAATGTGATATATTTATGTCATAGCAAACAGTGTGATCTTCGCATTTAAAATATCATAACTCCACGAATGACACTTCATAACATTATATAAGCGTGCATGAAATCCCATTTACATTATAAAGGCATAATGACAGACTTATGAACACCTCTTCTAGTAAAGTTGTAGAGCTGTGCATGGATGGATTTGCTCTTCAGTGTTTGGACTCTCAGTAGTGATTATTAAACCACACTGAACTGAACTAAACTGAACTGAACTTAAACTTTAAAAGCTGAACTACACTGTTTCAATGTGCTATGATCTTATATGTGAAGCTGCTTTGACACAGTCTACATTGTAAAAGCACGGTACACATAAAGGTGAATTCAACTGAATTAAAAAAGTGTTACCAAATATTGCAATGTCATTTTTTTTCCAGAATCGCACAGCCCTACTCTAGATCAGGGCTTCCCAAATGTTTCAGCCCACAACCCCTAAAAGACTTGTGACCCCCAATTTCCTCTGAGGTGGTTATAAATATATAAACCTTGCACATAACCGCGCACACATACCATAATAGGTCTAAGTCTATTCATAATTTAGTTTTGAAAAACGCCACACAGAGATCATCCTCTATGTTCAGTTGTGGCCTGTATTTAATTTTAATGTAGGTGAATGCCGTAAAGGTGTCAAAAAGTTTAACCTAGTGCCATGAAATCAGTGTGCTGTGGCTTTAATATAACGTAATCATCCAAGAGATTGCAAAAAAAAAAAAAAAAAAAAGCCAAATGGCTTTTTATTTGCGTGTTGTTTTTTTAATGTAACTACTAACTACTACTTCTCTGTTAGAATTATCATATATGGTCCATAACCTACAGTTTAATAATGTGAATTAGATTTTTGGAAATTAACAAGTGATCCCCCTTTATTGTCCATGGGGTCCCAACTCCTACTTAGTTGTTTTTGTTTCGTAAATATTTCAATTACTTTATTAAATTGATATAACACCTTATTAGATGCTTTGATGAACATGACCATCAGTATTAGGGGGCTTTTAGGGTGCTTTCACATCTGTAGTTTGCTTCATTTGGTCCGCAACAAGAGTAATACATGATACATTGATGCATTTTCTGCCGTCTTTGGGTCGTTTTCACACCACACTGCTGGCTTCAGTCTGAACCAGTTGAAACAAACCAAAATGCAGTCATCTGACACAATCCACATCTCTCATAGGCCAGATGTTGTTGAACATATTTCCTAAACTGCTTATTGATTGGTCAGAATTCAGAAGCGGGAAAATGCCATTGAACTCCCACAAGTAAACAAAACCGGCAGGGACAATGTGGTTTTTACTATAAAGGGACGACTGCGCTGACTGATTGTATCCCTGCTTTAGACAAACTCTACATTTCGGGAATGAAGCGCGGCTGTGGCTGTATTTATACAAAGTTTTAATGCATCGCTCGTCACTTCAGGAGGAGGCATGACTTAATTTAGCTAAACTGCGACATGCTCATCTTGCGGAAATATTACCAACGATCCATCAGGTAATGTTTTCTCCTCTCTCTCTGTTGGTAAAGCGCTGTCAACAAATATTTTTTCTCCATATCCTATAATGGACCTGTTTTAGTACGGATCATATTCTCACCATAAACGAACCGTTCCAGGGTTCGTTTGAAAGTGTGCTGAGAGCGCCTCTTTAAGCAGGTCTCGGTACCCTTATTTGGTCCGCTTTTGGTGCGCACTCGAGTACGATTGCTGCATTCTCACCTGCCCAAACCAACCGTACCAAGAGGGAGAACAAACTCTAGTGCGATTCAATCCAACTAAATAAGGCAGGTGTGAAAGCACCCTAAATAAAGCTGAATATTGTACAGATGAAAATTGATTTTAATTTTTCCATCACGATAGAGGCTTTCCTTAATTTGTGCATTAAAGCTGGTTTTTTTCAGCATGCAGGCTTTTAAAATGACTGAAAACTGCCTAAAACTGCTTCAGATGTGTATTAATTGTTGACTTAATCAGCAACTGCCATTTAGTATAACATATACTAGAAGGATCCAGCAAAATAAAATCCCTCTCACCCACTTTGGGAACCCCTGCTTGAGATCAGAGTTATCACCATTTACCTGTTTGGCTGCAACCACAGACTCCAGGAACACCTCCTTCATGTCCTCCAGGAATTCAATATGGTCCTCCCCAGCAAAGGTCCTGTCCTTCAGGGTGTCCAGAAGAGCGCCAACCTTCTCCCAGAACTTCTGGAGCTGGACCAGGATCTGCTGGATTCTGGACAGGCACTTCTGGACCTCATTCAGGTGACTTACATTGGGCAGCTGACCTGAGATCCAGATATGCAAAGTTGAAGTGTTTTTCTCTCTCTCTGTCTAAAATTTGTGAAGTTTATTTATAAACTAATTTTGAGAGGACCACGTGCTTATTCTGCATTATTCAATGTATGATTGACCAATCAGACGATTCCCAAGCCACTATAAATATCCTCAGCTCCATATCACAGCCATCTTCATTTTGAATAATCCCCCCTTTCACCCCTACCCCTCCTCCTCTCCTGGGTGGCACAGTGGCCCAGTGGTTAGCACGGTTTCCTCACAGCAAGAACGTCACTGGTTCTAGTCCTTACCAAGCCAGCTGATTTTTCTGTGTGGAGTTTATACGTTCTCCCCGTGCTCACGTGGATTTCCCCCGGAATCCCCGGTTTCCTCCCACCATCCAAAAACATGCAGCTTAAGTGAATTGACTAATTTAAATCACCATAGACATGCTGCTAGTCAGTAGTTATCTCTTAAGAGCGATCACTGTCTGTTCATGAGCTACTACAGCAGGGGAGTTCTCCACATCTACCTGAGCTCAAACTCCCCTCTCGCCCTGCAAACAGGAGGGAGCCCCGGGCTCGAGAATCTTATGAGCTCAGGGCTCTCTCCCATGATAGCATGATGAACACGCTTTATAATCAATCATCAGCTGAGTGTCAACTCTTAAAATTATAGGAAAAGTCAAAATGGCTGTTTTTAATATAAGAAAAGAAAGAATAGAGGGTGAATTTGTACAGGGATTTAGAGGTTAATCATTCTGTCTTAAACTGTATATAAAGCACGGACAAAATGAAGCATCTCACCGCTTTCGATTTTTATTTTGGCCAGGTTCAGCTGTTGGTCCATCAGCTTGTTCTGGATGCTCCACTCCTGATCTTTCAGGCTGCGATGAGCGTTTTGGAGCTCAGACAATCCTCCTTGAAGAGTTTTGATCGTCTCCTGATATGCAGGGGCAGCAACCGTATTGCAAATATAACCAATAATGCTTTCCACGAATGGCACCATCATTGTAAATATAGCGACGCCCGGCTCAATCGCTGCTGCTGCTGCTGCTGCTGCTGCAGCTCCTGCTTCTGCAAGCTTCTTCCCTTGATCTTCCTTACTGCCAGAGATTTTATTAATGAACGCTTGAATTTCTGCATTTTTCGCTTCAATCCTTTTCTCAGAGGCTTCGATCTCCTTGTTAAGTTTCTGAAGGTTGGCTTCCAGGGTGTCCACAGTTTTCTGAAGGGCCTCCATCTCGCCGGTTTGTTGCTGTTTTTTTTTATCAGTCTCGTCCTTCACTGTGATGATGTCACTGGTGGATTTGGCGACATCACTGTTGTGCTTGTCATACCTGAATGTGCAGCAAATATCATAATGAACAAGCTGGTAAAATAAGAAAACATCAACATTTTTTCATGGTACATATATTATAGTGCCGCTGGCATAAAACTATAGCAGATTTTAATTAAAAAGTAAAACCCAAACAATTTAAAGTTCGGTTGATACTGACATCAACAACACAGGCTCATGCTGAAAACGTAGTCCCGCGGACATTTCTGGAGACCACGAATTATGTAGCCGGAGGTACGTATGGCTGCATTTGATTTTAAATGCTATGCGAACGTTCCTTTGGGCGCTTACCGGCTGCCCGCTTACTTCCATGTGGAGGGCTTTCCTGCCGCAAGCAGTTTGTCCTCGTCATGTACGTCGGCGGACTTGAGATGCAGAGAGGAGCTGACCACCACGACAGGGGCGGACTGGGACAAAAATTCAGCCCTGGCACTGTATCCACACCAGCCCACATTACCATACAGACACAGCCCCGCTCACAGACACGCACATTCACTACTTATATTAGTGTGCTGATGGTGAAACAATATAAGCAGTAGCATATGTCATAGATATTTCAACATTTAATGTATGTGACTGGAACAAAAACAACCCATTGTCATTCTGTGCGCCTCTACCTAAGGATTAAATGCATACTGTAACCTCTGCATGTTTTTAAGGTTTTACTTTAGAGACTTGCTATGTATTCAGAGTTCTCTACAAATGCGTACAGTACTATGGCTAAAGCTGTAGGTTCTGTTGCATGTTAGACTATATTGCTAGTACAATAGCATACAGCAGTCTGTACACCCTAAATCCCCCGTTATCTGCTGATAGTGACATTTTAAAATGTACAGGATGTCACGTTATGGTGATCAAGAACAGGAACAAAAACGGGGGTGTAGAAAGTGCAGTTTAATTAATGTATAATGCAGAGAAAGTGACAAAAAATCCAAAGTGCAAAGTAATAAAATGGCAAACAACCAAACAAAACAAGAAGCTAAGATAGATTAACTTGAACTAGACTTTAACAAGATACAAGAACAGAAACAACATACCAAAAACGACAATGACCAACTGACAAACAGAGGATAAATGACTGAATATATAATCCAGGTAATCAACGGAGAACGGAGACAGCTGTGGTTGTAAATCAGTGTAGATGACAGACAGGGTGTGTGCGCGAAAGAATATATGGAAATGTAGTTCTTAAGCCACTGTAGTTCGCTGGGGGTTGCTGGCGAACTACAGTGGCATCTGGTGGACAAACGCAGTCATGACACAGGAGTTCTACGCTAAGCCAGTGGTTCTCAAAGTGGGGGTGGCGGGACAATAAAGGTGGGGTCGCCTGGTGATTTCCTAAAATCTATTTATTTTTATTAAACCATAAGAATTACCATATTTTATCAATAACCTACTGAAGAGAAATAAATATTCATTTGTAGTTACTATTGTATAGTTATATACTACTGTTTATAGTTACTAGTAGCTTATAGTTACTAGTTCTACTGAATTGCGACTCCCGGGGTAATTACATAATATCAAAGACACAGCAATAGCGTGAGATGCAGCAGACTGATTTTATAACACCAGGTTAAACTTTTTGGCACCTTTACAGCACTCACATACATTTTAAAAATTAAACTGAGAATAGACTTGGGTCTATATGTATGTGTGCGCCATTGCATGCAGGCTTTCTGTATTTATAACCTCCTCAGAGGAAATTGGGGGTCGCGAGTCACTGGCATTGTTATTTTGGGGGTCGCGGGCTGAAAAGTTTGGAAACCCTTGCGTTAAGCTTACTGTTAAGCACAGTGTATGTTACAGTCAAAAACTGTCAGAAGTAGTGTGAATGGTGTCAAAACTACTTAGTATATTTTAGTATAATGACTTAGATGTATATTTTCTGTTTTCATACCTCCTCTACCTCACTAACACCCCATTCACACGGGGCGTCAGTGTCAACGCTTCCCATTCACTTTGAATGGGTGACGTCAGTCATTGCCGAACCGCATTGTGGATCGGTCGGCGCCGCTTCAGAGGCGTTGCTCACTGCACGACGGAAGCATCAGCCAATCAGATCACTGTATGCAAATACACCAGCTCAGACAGTGGCCTATTGCTGACTGAATTTCATTGGCTGACGCTTCCATGACGATTACTTCAGCCCCAACTTCAGACACACCTTCAGTCAAGCGTTGACGCTGAAGCCCTGTGTGAATGGAGCGTAATGTCCTCCGATGCAGCAAACAAATCTAAACCTTTCGAGAATATTTCAGCGTCTGATTTTAGGGTGCTTTTTTTGCTTTCTTTGAGCTTTTCGGCACCGCCTTTCCTTTTTTTAATGGTCCATCTCTGACAATTATCTTATGTTGCACTTACTGTTTGTTTGACATTCTTGCCAGATTTTGATTACGTCCGCGTAACCTCTGATTGGGTCAGCCCCTCTCAAAACCAGCCAGCCGTCACCGATCGGGCCAAATGCTTAACATCTAATTATTATTACTATTATTATTATCATCATCATCATCATAATATTCACATCTTGCAAGAGATAAAAGCTGCCTGTATGTAAAAGCAATACATATTAAGATTTTTTTTTTTTTTTTTTAACTGACTGGCCCACATTTAAAAAATGGTCCGGCCCTTCAGATGGTCCGGCAGAATTGCCAGATGGCCAATCCGCGCCTGCACGACGACCACCGTGTTCGAGTCTGGGAAAGAGGGGTTCCAGAAATCAGGTAAGACAAAAACAGAATCCAAAAAGTATTGTGAACAAGTTCATTACATGGTGAGAATGTGGTGAAATCTGAAAACACAGTAAAAATCAGATGAGGGCTTTTCTTTTTCTGGACAGCTTTTGTGAATTGTTGGTTGGGTTTAGGGAAGTAAGTGGATGGCGGGTCAATCAGTAAAACAGGTTGGGTTCAGTGAAGGAGAAGGGTGGGTCTGCTGATTGGCTGGTTGCCCAGTCAATCATTTAGTGAGTCAGACAGTCAGTTGTTCGACATCTGCTTCAGGTGGGTTTACGCGAGAACAGCGTGGGTGCGAACGAGTTCGCAAAAACAAAAACTGCAAAAATACCTACCTCCCGGAGCGTATTTGGCGGTCTCCAGAAACGCCCACAGGGCTACGTTCTCAGAATGAGCCTGAGTTGAACATCAAACACATTTAAAGTCAACAGCACCTTAACAAATGTGTTTTCTGAGAAACATGGTGACATGTCCAATCCTGCACTACAATACATCACCTGCTAATGTTTCCCGGTTGACATTATTACCTCCTTACGATATCTTTGACGACCTTTATGATGTCACTGATCCAATCTTTTGCCTTCTCCAGGAGTTTGCGAGCTAACTGGGGTTTGTTCTTCTCCACGGCCACTTTCAGAGTGGGCAGCAGAGATTTAACCAGGTTGTTGCTGGTTCCCACACACTGCACAGACAGAAGAGAGATTCTCATTAAAGAAACTGTCAGGATCTGTCATTTCATGACTTTATTTTTTACATGTTATGATTTTGTTTCTCCACTAGATGTCCCCATTTCTCCCCATGTGTTGTTTAAGTTCAGTATTTACGTGATTGTTTTCACATGTGTGCTGTTAGGTCTTGTGTATTTAAGTTGACTAGTTCCCTTGTTTCTTTGCTCAGTTATTGTTGATGCTAGCCCATGGTGATCGTAAGTCTTATCTTGCTTCTCTAAAGTCTAGTTTACTCAGAGTCTTGAGCTACATTGCCTTTTTCTAGTTCTTTGGATGTGTTTTGCTTGCTCTAGTTTTTGCAGAGATATTTTGCACGGGGTTTAACCCCAGGTCTCCAGTGTCAGAGACTGAAGGCTTATCCACTGAGCCACAGGAGGACCATGATCCCAACAACAAGACGGTACTTGCACTGTGAGAGGTTTATTTACGAAACATAAAAAATCCACACTTGGAACAAAAAATGCAGTGATAACAAAAGGACTGGTTAACGGAGGAACAAAAAGGCCCACAGGCAATAAAGTCATGAAATGACAGATCCTGACAGAAACTAAAGTTATTGTTGATTATTACACAGCTGCCAGAAATACTTGATTCTGATTGGTCAGTTGCAACATTCTGCGGTATGTTTAGTAAGGGATAATGTACATCCAGCCGGTTGTTATTGTAGAAAAACAATTGTAGAAAAACTGCAAAAACAATCGCTTTATCCCATTATTAAATGGCCACTTGCCGCAAAATGTACAAATCATACACAAAACATTGTTTACACTTATGAAATATTTAACTAAAACAGAAACTAAAGCAAGTAGATGGAGTATACACTAACCTATGCATTATTCAGTCACTAGATGGTGCCAAACAGTCAATAACAGTATGGGTTGTATATGAATGTGCACATATTCACTGATGGTCAAAATGATTCGAAGATGATTCGAAGTACCCAGATGAGTCTGTGTTAATAATTTCAGCGGTTATTATCTGGGAATAACATAACATGACTGATCAATCAGGATCAAGTATTCCTGATAGCCCTATAATTATCCCAGATAACTCCTGATTACACTAATAACTGAAGCTTATTCGGGTATTCTGAGAATCATCTTGACTGTCAGTGAATATGAATATCTGTCCTGCCTCTGTTTTTGACAGTTTGGCGCCATCTAGTGACTGAATAATCTGCAGGTTAGTGTATACTCCATTCAGCTGTTTTCATTTCTGTCAGCTTTGCCTTTAATTACAAAATTGACAAAAGGTCACAGCTCAGAATAAAGTTTTGTGTCTAAATTTTACATTTTGTTGCCAGTAGCCAGGTAATAAGCAGGATAAAGTACATCCAGGCGGTTGCAGAATAAATCCTTCAGTCTTACACAACAGCTGCAGATAAACCTGTCAGGTTCTATTCTGCAATAACAACCGGCTGGTTGTACTTTATCCTTTACCTTGCAGTACATGAGAGCTGTGTGAAATTCTAGTGCTAACACATAATGACTTCATCTGTTTATTGGTATTATTCACTGCAAGTTTAGAAGAAACTTTTGGAACTTTTGCATAAACATTGTACTCTTTAGCATGTTTTAGACTTCATACTGAGGTGTTTACCATCAGTTAAGCTGCTTGAAGCTCATTGAACAATAGAGAACATATATTGACCTTTCATAAGTCTAATAAAGCTGTAGAAAAATGAATACCTTGAGCAGAACAGCCTCAGAAGATCCAAACAGAAGCTGTGTTTCCACAGCTCTTTCCCGAAGCAGACGCTCCAGTTTTGGAAATCCCCCCAAACACAGATAAGACAGGTGATAGAGAAGAGCCGTTCGCTCCGCAGCCGGAAGAAGCTCCTGAATAAACTCTGGACTGGACACAGAATTACTGAGCATGAGCTCTGAAACAGAAACACACAAATCACTAATGCATACTTATCATCTGACTTTAAAGGGCACCTATTATGCAAAAATCACTTCTATAAGGGGTTTAACCCCAGTTGTGTGTCTGCAGTGTGTGAATATCTCCAGCCTCTAATGCTCAACATGCATTAATTGTATTTGTTCTAATCAGACTTGATGAAAGCAGTCTGCAGAAACACTTTGATTGACATTCTTCCTTTGTGCAGTAGGTGTCATCAGAGGAGGAAGGCCCCGCCCACTAGTGCTCATCTCTCCCTCATTAGCATTAACAACAGCCCTGAGTGAGAAGCAGCCGTCTGTCCTGTAGCATTAGAGTTTTGAAATATGCTTAATGTAGTTCACAATTGGCAATGAGGAGATGAAAATATAAATTCTGGTGACTTACAGTCAATTTTAACATATTATGCATTAAATTAATGAACTTTGTTAGGTGTTTCTGTTTAGTAAATATTTCAATTACTTTATTAAATTAATATAACACCTTATTAGGTGCTTTGATTAACATGGCTGTCAATATTCGGGGGCTTATAAATAAAGCTGAATATTGTACAAATAAAGATTAATTTTAATTTTACCACCAAGATAGATGTTTTCTTTAATTTGTGCATTCAAGCTGTTTGTTTTCAGCATGCAGACTTTTGAAATGACTGAAAACTGCCTAAAACTGCTTCAGATGTGTATTAATTATTGACTAAATCAGATTATATGGATCCAGTAAGATAACACCTCTCTCACCTTTGCTGTTCGCCATGGTCTTTAAACAGTCGATAAAGCTTCAGATACAAAAAGATCTGTAAAAACAGAACAGAAGGATTAACATGAGAATTATTGAAGAAAACATAAATACTGTATCAACAAGTGATTCAAATAATAGCATAGGTTCATTCGGGTACTGAGCATAATCTTAACCATCAATGAATATGCTCACATTTATATTTCAGGCCCGTAGCCAGCCTGGTAAAAGGGCTGGTTCTTTTTTTTCTCAAAAAGTTTACCTTTTTGCAGTTATACATAGCTTTATAGTTTCCATTTAACTATGAGATTTAAACACTGCATTTTAGTGACTTTTATTTTTATTTTTTTCGCTGGATTAGCTAGTCAGATGTCATTAAACCACACTTTCTGATGTAGTAAAAATGTTTTATAAAAATTTGCAATAAAGAAAAATTAAAATAAACTTATTACGTCATAAATCATTAGGAAAAAATAGCAATCTGATATAGTGTTAAAGAAAAAAAAAAGCTAGCCTGCTGTCATTTATTAGACAAACTGGCCAGCACATTTTAACTGTCCTCAGTCACAATTTGGCAATTTTAATAAAAAATAATAACTAAAACATAATATTAATAATAATAATAATAATAAT